CCCACAGGGCCCGGGCCGGCCTGGCCGTTCATTAGGGCACCGGCTCAGCCGAGAGAGCTCATGTGCCCGCTGCCAGCGCTGAACACGCCTGCCTGTTCCTCTCCCCGCCCCGCTGCTCTCTCCTGCCCAGGGCAGCGCTCCTCCCTCGCCTGCTCCTCCCAGCCAGCAGCTCAGGGTGGGGGGCGGGAAGCCCGAACCCTGAGGGGGAGGAGGCTCCGTTGTGTAGGGCCCCATGATCTGTAGGGCCTGGCCGGCTCAGGAGGCTCTGCTGCCTGCCAGGGCTCACCGGCCCCCTCCTCCGTGCCCAGGACGGGAGCGTGAGCAGCAGCCCCCTGGCCTCCCCAGCCAACACCAGTCTCTGGTAAGGGCGAGGCCGGGTGGGCAGTGCGGGCTGCGGGCAGCTATTGGCAAACGAGGAAGAGTCCGGCGCAGGGCTGGCTCCTCCAAGGCACCCACAGTGCCCAGGCCTCTGCCTTGGCGTGTCCCTGTGAGGCAGCGGCCCAGCGCCTGCTTGGTGCCCCACTGCCAGGTCGCCGGGGGGGACACACTCTAGCCCCATGTGCCGCACACACCTGGGGGCTCCGACATGCTTGGGCTGCCCGTCTCGGGGGGGGGGGGTTCCCAGGCCTGCAGGGGTGTCCGGCCCGGGAGATGGGGGAGGCTTGTCTGTCCAGAGCTTCTCTGCAGCATCCCTGCCCCCGCGGGACCGCGGCGCCTGCTCCTGTCAGGTCTCAGCAGGGCCTGGTCTGGTCGAGACGCCGCCTGGGCCCTGCCGAACGCCCGTCTCCCCAGGGCAGTGACTCGCTCGGGGGCAGGCAGGAGGCGGGTGTCCAGGTGCCACAGGGAGGCAGCGCTGCCCAGGGAATGAAGCGCTGGGGGCGGTTAGGGGTCTGCAGAGCGAGGCAGGAGCTTTGTGCATCTCAGAGGGACCAGAACTAGGAGCCTGGGGTCTGACCGCTCTGAGCAGGCAGCCGAGACCCAGTGGCCAGGGGAGGGGGTCGGGGAGGTGACGGGCAGGGGGCAGAGACCAGAGAGCCATGGGGAGGGACGGCAGGGCCCCTCTGTGACCTGCTGCTTTTCCCTGCCAGACCTCCAGCCAGTCGGACCTGGAGCAGAGCTCCCAGGAGTCTGACGACCTCCTGGACCAGCGAGGTGAGTGGGGCCCAGCCCTCAGCCTTGCGCATTCAGCAGCCCACGTGCAAACGAGTGTGCAAGTGCGATAAGGAGCCTGCTGGCGCCTCCTGCGCCTGGGTCTGAGCGTCGCAGTGTCTGGCCAGGGGCCCAGCCACCGCCACACCGTCCTCCACTCGGCCCCCCTGCTCCATGGCAGGAAGAGCCGGGGAGCGGGCGCTGGGACAGCAGGGCCCCTAAAGGCAGGCAGAATAGGCCATGCTCAGCCTACAAGGCAGGCTCCCCCGGGGGAGCCTGGTGCCTTGCGGGGCCTGGCAGCGCCAGTGACTGTGTCCTGTTGTGTGCAGACGGGCTGGGCCCGAGGCGGAGCGGAGAGCATGAGGGCGAGGAGAAGGCCATGCCGAGCCAAGGTGAGGGTCGTGAGGTGCCTGCTTAGCTGCGGGCACTGTGCCCCGGCCTGCTCCCCAGGCTCTGCCCACGCCCATTCAGGCATCATGGCAGGGGCATCCCCCTGCCTCTGGCAGCGGGGCCAGGGTTAGCTGGGGCGCCTCGGCTGCAGAGCCCCCTCCCCGCTGGTCCCCGCAGGCCTCAGACATGGCTCCCC